CTTATTCTGTAATTTCACTGCATTTCAGAAAAACAGTTTATGAAGCTAGCTGCTAGGCAGATAAAATAGCCACAGATAAGATAATATATACATATAAATAAAATTGGAGTGTCTGTTTGTAATATTGAAATAACCGTTTTTTACTACATGCATATGAATATAAATACGGTACATACACCAAAATAACATTTTTTACATTTTTTGTCTGTCTGTCTATTTGTTGCGGCTAATCTCTGAAATGGCTGGACTGATTTTGACGGGACATTTTTAGTAGGTAGCTGATGTAATAAGGAGTAACTTAGGCTACTAACTTAGGCTTAGAATAACTTAGGCTTTTATTTAAGAAATATTCTTTTATTTTAGAAAAATAAAGTTAATGTCCATGCGGACGAAGTCGCGGGTACAGCTAGTATTATATATAATTGGTAAGGCTTTTAATAACGACTTTTCATAATTTTTACTTCAGTAACTACTATAATGCCTTATTCTGTAATTTCATTGAAAGGTAAGTTAATACAACTTACCTTTCAGCTGAAAACAGCTTACAATGCAAGCTGTTTGGCGACTGAAATAGGTAAAAGACTGAGGAACGACTTTTTATATTTTCTACCTTAGTAACTATAGAGAGTTCCAGAAGAATAAAGTGTATATATTTCAAATCCAAATTCAAATTCATGTAGGATATGTAATCCGGTTATGAACGTAATTTTTTTTATATTATAAGTTTTCTCTACCGTCCAGTTCAGTATATATATCCAAATTAGAAGAACTGACAACAAACTCAGCTCGTATTCTTTTCAAATAAATGTTGTACATGTATAAAATAATACAGATTCATTTAAATTCAAATTTGGGAGAATAGAGTGATTATAGTTATCAAATAACGTCACGTCAGAGCTAATAACTCGACTGGTTAACATAAACCTGATACTTGTGTAGGTAAAGTTAGAGATTATAAAGTTACAAAGTTTTGAAGTATGTACAGTATGTAATACTGAAAATCAGAGTGTTTGCGTAGAATGTCATAACGCTGAATGAAGCTGTTTCAGTGTGATAATAAGAAATGTGTGTAAAAATTTATATGTTTTTCTTTATTATATATATATATATAACAATAATAGAAATCATTCCGAACTGACGGTACATTTAACATATCATAAGAGTCTGTAATAGACCTACGTGATTAAAGATATTTTTAATTTGAATTTGAATCAACCTTAACTGTTTTTTTTTTATCTCAGGACAATTCACACAGCGCCATCTAGACCCACGTTAAGCTACCTAAAGCTTGTATAGATTTTTTTTTTTCGTATATACATACATATTATACATGGAAAACACCCAGACCGATTCAAACTATCATACTCATGAATACAATGTTTGTGCCGTGCGAGGAATCGAACCCGCGACCATCGGACTTAAAGCGGTGTGCTAGACCGCTACACCACCGAGGTCGTCATATCTCTATCGACTCTATGTACATAAATACTATAATTAAAAACAAGAATCCTATTGATTGAACAGTCTAAATCAGGTCAGATTTCGGTTTTCTTAGTCTTTATTTCTCGTCACCATTACTACTAGAAAACATTTGATTGACACAATGAAAATATTCTTTACTACCTGTGCTCGCTACTTCGTTCGTGTGGAATTACCTTATTTTTCTAAAATAAAAGTCGCCTACGTTACTCCTTATTATATCAGCTACCTACCAATAAAGGTCCCGTCAAAATCGGTCCAGCCAGAGATTAGCCGGAGCAAGTAAATGTTATTTTGTTGTATGTACCGTATTTATATTCATATGCATATAGTAAAAACGGTTATTTCAATATTACAAAAAACACTCCAATTTTATTTATATGTATAGATGTATAGATAAAACGAGTTTCAAACGTACTTATTTCACATTGGTCAGGACATTTAGAGATTTCTTTCTCAGTATTTGTTTTTGACGTTTGTTCCCTTACATCTACGAAATTTGTTTCAAAAGCAATGTTTATATTGTACTTTTACATTAAATGTATGGCAGATATGGAAGAAGTATATCTCTTTTTTAAAGGAATAAAACAGCCATTATTGTTAAATTTTTAAGTAACTTTAATTATAAGAGCTGGTGTCTCAGTCAGCGTGAATTACATATGAAAATAAATTGATAATGACTGATAATTATATTGCTAGTATCTATTATTAATCTACATTCAAAACATCTGTTAAATCATATTTACTGAGCAAAGCCTATTGCTCACTAAACGATTATTTGAATGACGAGCGTGCATGGCAATAGTTGTACATGCACGGGATTTTCATTTAATATTAGACTTAGACACCTATATAAATAAACATTATAAATAAACTGGCTTTTAAAAAAATAAGTAATTCAATTGAGTTTCTTGCCAGTTCTTCTCAATTGTATCTATATACTGAATAAAATGGTAAGGAAAAATTATAATATAAAAAATTTAAAGTTCATAAAGTGGCTAAAATATCCTACATGAATAAATGATTTTTTAATTTGAATTTAAATTTAAATTTGTATTCATAATTAATAGCTGTAGATATTTAATTACCATCGTTTCATCGTTACGGGAGCTTTCACTGGCTAGACTTTAAACTGTGAGCTTTTATCGTACTAATTTCACCTTAGTCAGCATCTTGTCTGTTAGTGAGCTTTCATAATTCCTGCACATCTGTCTGTATGTCCGTGTCTGCTCTGTCACGTACAACTTTATAACACGCGCCATTTTTATTTTCATAAATTCTGATGAAATTTAATACACAGGTGTTGTTATGGGAGGTGCCATAAAAGTGAAATGAAATTACGAAAATTATGTTTACCAACATAGAAATGGGGGATGAATCGGTTTTATGCACCCCATTATCCCGGATACCGTTGGAGAGGTCTTTTAAAATGCAATAATGGTTCTTTAATATATTTTTAAAGGTATTACTTCAAAACTAAGTTCACACTTCGTTCATGTGTGCAGTTACGATATCAACGCTAAAGAGCTAACTTTGATAACAAATATAAAGTTTGAAGTTTTAAAGCATATAATAATAATAATAATAATCTCAGGACAATTCACACAGCGCCATCTAGTCCCAAGTTAAGCTAGCTAATGCTTGTGTTACGGGTACTAGATAACTGATACAAGTACATAGATATTTTTTTTTTCACCCAGACCGATATAAACAATCATACTCATGAATGCAAATGTTTGTGCCGTGCGAGGAATCGAACCCGCGACCCTCGGACGTTAAGCGGTGTGCTAGACCGCTAGACCACCGAGGTTGTTGTTAGAGTAGTTTACTTTCAAAACGAATAAGTAATTTTTTTAATTTTCAACTAATATTTTTTATTCATATGTCGTTTAACTAAAGTTAGCAATTTGTTTTATGGCAATTGCGTAAGGTTTTACAACAAAATACCAGTCTGCTATAAATCTGCCTGAAAAAATATTTAAATGTCATATAAAATACTTCCTTTGCAAAAAAGCTTACTATAAAATTGAAGAATTCGTTAACGACAATAATGTTTTTATAGAAAAACTTTAAATCCATAGCACTAACAATATTATCTGATTACACTAATAATGAGTGCGTAGCGATTTCTATATTGATTATCGTATTAACAAGTAGGCATGCGAAGGCATACTATAATTATTATATAAAAAAAACATCTATTCAAAAGAGTAACACACAAGTTTCTTGCTCATTCTTCTTGTGATGAACCTGCATTCCGAATGAGTGGTAGAATCAAAATATGACTATTCAAAAGTGCTTGTAATGAGTTTATTTGAATAAAGATTATTTCTATTTCTATTTCTATTAAAAAAAAGTTAATTTCCACGTAGACCAAGTCAGGGGTAATAATCAGAATAGACTAAAACCAGAGGTATACAGACGTTTTTATACATAGTCTACCTACGAAATCTAGATAGATTTCGTTATTAGTCTAGGAGCTATAGGTATGTAGATACATATCTAAAGCTCCTAGACTAATAGCTTTATATATCAGTAATAACCGGTACGGTACGTGTAGAAATTTTCCAACAATCCGTGTCGACGGTGCAGCTCAAATTTCAATTAAACTCTGCAATACCTGCGCTACATTTCATAGAAACTCTTGCCCTTACAAAATCTGTTTACATGAAGCGTCCAAATATTTATTAATTATTAAGTTACTATATTAAACCACCATCACCATTTGATTTTGATATAATTTGTATTAATCTATTTAATACTTGTAAAATTGCACCGCTATACTATCTCTGATCAACGCGTCGGTTGACTGGTAGATAATGCCATCAGGCATTAAGTCCGCCATGTATACAATTTTGTGTGCAAAAGAATAAATAAATAAATAAATAATTATACGGTATGTACATAAAAAAAATAATTATATGATTTTTTTTTCGTCTTGCCTATCTTTGAAGTCGCTGGCCTAATAATAACAATGTTATAATATATAGTAATATAATATAATATAGAGTAACTTAGACTACTTTTATTTATTTTAAAAATAAATGACGACAAATTCGCGAGTAAAATTTGGTTAAAAAATAATACTAATATTACGATTCCTTTTAATAAACTTTATATTTCTTATATGTCACTTTTGACTAACTAATTGTTTTGTTACACTCCTTCTAACTATAAGCCCTTTTGGGAAGAATACATATTTTTACTTGTATTTGGTTTTTATTAAAATAGTAGTTGTGTTCCCACTCCAGTAACAATAACAATGTTTTAATGCAGAGTAACTTAGACTATGTTTATTACAAAACAAAACATTTATTTATTTTAATAACAAAAACAGTCAATTTCCACGACGACGAAATCTCGAGTAATATCTGGTTTAAAAATAATATTATTGTCGTATAAATCTTTAAGTGCCATCTCCTATCGGAGGTTGGCGATCATTATAGCGATCTTTGCTTTGTCCGCGACGGTCCTGAAAAGAGACTTGGTGCTCAACCCAACCCACTGAGGTTTTTAACCAGGGACCGTGTGCCATCTCCTATCGGAGGTTGGCGATCATTATGGCGATCTTTGCTTTGTCCGCGACGGTCCTGAAAAGAGACTTGGTGCTCAACCCAACCCACTGAGGTTTTTAACCAGGGACCGTGTGCCATCTCCTATCGGAGGTTGGCGATCATTATGGCGATCTTTGCTTTGTCCGCGACGGTCCTGAAAAGAGACTTGGTGCTCAACCCAACCCACTGAGGTTTTTAACCAGGGACCGTGTGCCATCTCCTATCGGAGGTTGGCGATCATTATGGCGATCTTTGCTTTGTCCGCGACGGTCCTGAAAAGAGACTTGGTGCTCAACCCAACCCACTGAGGTTTTTAACCAGGAACCGTCTGCCTGGTCTGCGGCAACCGTGGATTTTTCCTTGTATTATTAATTGCAGAGGACTGTATTTTTCATTCTGCATTATGTGACCATGTGATACAGCAATGTGTATACTATAAGTATAATTATTACATAAGTAGTATAGAGGTAGCTGTCTCCGCCTAACTATTAAATAAATAACGCAGTGCGTAACAGGCCGTCTTTGTATTTGCTTGTGTCTCCCGTATATAACAAATATCAAAAAAGATCGGCCGGTCAATCGCCAATACAGACGTTTTTATACATAATAAACACTTTATTGTGCACATAGAAGAAATACAAAAAAAAACAATAAATGGAAAATCAATCAACTTGCAAGATAGGACTAACGTACACAGAAGAGGTAGATGGCATACACAAGACACTCATCATCATCTGCTTCTTCCTTATCCCATTCATTTGTGGTCGTCGTAATATGTTTTTCGCTTCCATTCATCCCTGTTCGCAGTCATCTCGTTACTTCCTTTCTTACCATATCATCTTTCACACAGTCCATCCAACTCTTTTACGGCCTTCCTCTACCCTTATAACCATCCACATTCATTTGTAACACCTTTCTTAAAATATTATCCTCGTTCCTACGCATTACATGTCCATACCATACAAGACACTATGATTATATTAATCGAATTAATAGACATACATATATATACATATACATACATATATATAACATATTGGAAGATTTCAGAGTTAAATAGGAAAAATGAGCTATAGGGACAGATAATGATACCTTAGACGATTTTTAAATATTGCATGAGATTGAGCGGATCGAATGGAGAGCGGTAGAGAGTTCCAAAGGCGAATGGCTTGGACAGTGAAAGAGTTGGAATAATATGTGGAGGAGTGAGCAGGAATCGTCAGACAAAGGCTTCTGGTGCTACGCAAAGCAGAACCCGAGGATTTAGTGTGAAATAAAAAAATAGTTTTTTTTATTTCACACTAAATCCCCGAGTGTTCTGGAGTAGAGGGATGGTAAAGAATGGTGTAAAGAAGGCATAGCAAGTGAAAATTCCTGCGAAGATGAATGGGAAGCTACTTGAGTTGATTGCGAAAATTGGAAATGTGGTCATACTTACGGAGACCAAATATAAATTGTATTGACATGTTTTGGAGTCGCTCAAGTTTATTTAATTGTTCTTCAGTGAGATTTACATAGCAGGAGTCCACATAATCTAGGATCGGAAGTAACAAGGACATAGTCTACCTACGAAATCTATCTATCTATCTAAAGCTCGTAGTCACCAGTAATAACCGACACGGTACGTAGTACGTGTAGAAATTTCCGAACTATCCGAGTCGCCGGTGCAGCTGAAATTTCAATTGAACGCTAAAATAGCTGCGCTACATTTCACAAACGTCGCCAATTACAATTAGTTACGACTTAATTGGTAAGAAACGGGCGGACGTGGTAATGAAATAACTTCAACAGATTCCAAACATTATTCGTTTTTGTAACTAGTTTGTACCAGCGACTTCACTTTTGTAGACATTTCTAATAATAATCCGGAGAGTGATAACTCTCAATTCGATCTGTAAAGTCGCATTCTATAGAGACGATTTCGGTGGTTTAGCAGTTTGGCATACCGCTTTCGTGGTCGCAGATTCGGTTCCTCACGCGGTACATGTATTCATGAGTATGATTGTTTATATCGGTCTGGTTGTTTTCTATGTATATTATGCATGCATTAAAAAAAAACTAAGTATTTACATCTGTTGTCTAGTACTCATAACACAAGCAATGCTGACCATGGGACTAGATTGTGTTAATTGTCCAGGATTATTTATTTACTTATATTTAAAAATTTACTAAAATACCAATAACTCTTTACAACTGCCTTTACAGATACGCTCTTTCATGTCCGAATAGGCTATCATGCAGAAAAGAAAGTGTGTATATAAATTTAGAAAAAGAGAATAAAAAAGACAACTCGCGCAGCCAGCACGCGCATTCCCGCTCCTTCAATTGCGCGTGCTTTAGCGCTAATGTAGACAAAAAGACTGAAAAAGATAGCTCGCGCAGTCAGCTCGCGCGTTCACACCCCTTCAATTGCGCATGCTTTAGCGCTAATGTAGACAGAGAGATTGAGAAAGACAGCTCGCGCAGCCAGCACGCGCGTTCTCGCTCCTTCAATTGCGCGTGCTTTAGCGCTAATGTAGACAGAGAGATTGAGTAAGACAGCACGCGCGTTCCCGCTCCTTCAATTGCGCGTGCTTTAGCGCTAATGTAGACAGAGAGATTGAGAAAGACAGCTCGCGCAGCCAGCACGCGCGTTCTCGCTCCTTCAATTGCGCGTGCTTTAGCGCTAATGTAGACAGAGAGATTGAGAAAGACAGCTCGCGCAGCCAGCACGCGCGTTCCCGCTCCTTCAATTGCGCGTGCTTTAGCGCTAATGTAGACAGAGAGATTGAGTAAGACAGCACGCGCGTTCCCGCTCCTTCTAATGCGCGTGCTTTAGCGCTAATGTAGACAGAGAGACTGAGAAAGACAGCTCGCGCAGCCAGCACGCGCGTTCTCGCTCCTTCAATTGCGCGTGCTTTAGCGCTAATGTAGACAGAGAGATTGAGAAAGACAGCAGTTCGCGCGTTCTCGCTCCTTCAATTGCGCGTGCTTTAGCGCTAATGTAGACAGAGAGATTGAGAAAGACAGCTCGCGCAGCCAGTTCGCGCGTTCCCGCTCCTTCAATTGCGGATGCTTTAGCGCTAATGTAGAGAGAGAGATTGAGAAAGACAGCTCGCGCAGCCAGCACGCGCGTTCTCGCTTCTTTAATTGCGCGTGCTTCAGTGATTTATAATTAACTAGCTGTACTCGCGACTTCGTCCGCGTGGAATTAAACTTTATTTTTCTAAGATAACAAATAAAAATCTAAAATAAAAGTAGCCTAAGATACTCCTTATTACATAAGCGCCCTGCCAAAAAAAGTCCCGTCAAATTCGGTCCAGCCATTTCAGATTAGCCGGAACAAACGTGTAACAAAGTGCAAAAGAGAGAATACAAAAAATAATAATACAATCATTCACGACTGGCATTGCCGGCCTTACGACGGCCTGAGCCGAGGTTTGTACCCCTAGTGGTGCCCTCAGACTAAAGTCGTATCCGTCAGGCAGGACTTGGCCTTCAGCCACTCCATAAGTCCTTCCGCGGGTTTGGAGTGCCATCTGCACTCGCCCCCTACTCGCTTCATCCGGAGAAGCTGTACAGGCCAACTGCGGCCAACAGCATCAGAGTAGTCTGAAAAGAAGCACACGGAACAACGTGTCGTGTAACTCTCTTGTTTCGACGTTATCGTGTGTCGACCTCGGTGGTCTAGCGGTCTAGCACATCGCTTTACGACCGATGGTCGCGGGTTCGATTCCTCGCACGGCACAAACATTTGTATTCATGAGTATAATTGTTTGTATCAGTCTGGGTGTTTTCTATGTGTATGTAAATACAAAAAAAATATATATCTATGTATATGTATCAGTTATCTAGTACCCATAACACAAGCTTTAGCTAGCTTAACTTGGGTCTAGATGGCGCTGTGGTTTTTTTTGTTATATTCTTTCAGCTGTTTTTTTTTACACTATTATTATTATTGACGTGTACATAATTACAATTGATTTTATTTAGTGTGAACGCCTTGATCACCTGATTGTACTATTAAATTAATGTACAAAATACCTTTTCAGTAATCCGACGTGAATTAACGGTGACAAAGCGCAGCTTTACTTTACAACAATGCGTGTGCAATTAGTCTACTGTGATGGAAATATGTACTATATTCATAGCTATTAAATCGCTTTATTGTTATGACGTGATGCTCAAATCTAAATCCTATTACAATATCCGCAACGTTCCAATTTCTATGGTATTCTATTAGAGTGCTGTTGAATCCATATTCTGACTATATTTCCAGCGTATTATTGAATTAATTACGCCATAAAACTATGCTTAATATCCTCGCCTCGCCTCCTGAGTGTTATAGAATCGATCTTGATATAAAACAAACATTTGAATTTTAGTATTAGACTAGCTGCACTCGCGACTTCTCCCGCGTGGAATTTTACTTTACTTTTTAAATAAAAGTAGCCTAAGTTACTCCTTATTACATCTGCTTCCTGCCAAAAAAAGTCTCGTCAAAATCGGTCCAGCCATTTCCGAGATTAACCGGAACAAACAGTCAGACAGACAAAAGTTGTAAAAAATGTTTAGTTGGTGTATGTACCATATTTATATTCCTATGTATGTAGTAAAAACGGTTATTTCAATATTACAAACAGACACTCCAATTTTATTTATATGTATAGATTTTTCATATGAGAAAAAAGTATTTAAATATCCTCTGCATTTTACAGCATATGCAGTACTATTTATGCTTACTTTGAGTCTAGCTGGTGCTGTAAGATTATACATATTTTACATTAGTTATACAAACTATAAAGTGTTTTTTTAACAACAATAAAAAACAGAATATTGACGAAAACAAATAAAAACTGTGATATATCTTTTGTCTGTGTAAATTTATTGAAATGTTACGTAAAGTTGTGTTGAAACATATGCAAAATACTTGTTACTTTCATGAAATGTACCAACATTTCATTAAGTGTCAATATGGCAAAGATTTGATAATATTTTTCAACTTCAAAATTTTTACAAGGTTTTTATATTGTACTAGCTACTCGCCCCGGCTTTGCCTGGGTGTACATGTATTTTACATCTAAACCTTCCTCTTGGATCACTCTATCTATTAAAAGAAACCGCTTCAAAATCCGTTGCGTAGTTTTAGATATTTAAGCATACATAGGGACGGACAGCGACAGCGACTTTGTTTTATACTATGTAATGATGATAATGATTCTTATATTATTGTGTAACATATATAGTCATCCAGTAAGGTGGACCGACGATCTGGTCATGATCGCTGGAAGGCATTGGATGCGAGCAGCGCAGGACCGATCGCCGTGGAGATCTTTGGGGGAGGCCTTGGTTCAGCAGTGGACGTCTTCTAGGCTGCAATGATGATGATGATGATGATGATGATATATTATTAATTAGCATACATTCGTATGCTATTATAATTTTATTGAGATTCATATGCATCTTAATTATCATAAATGTATATGTAACTCAAAGGTGTCTGACATAGTGATCTATCAACGCACAGCCCAAACCGCTGGACGGATCGGGCTGAAATTTGGCAAGCAGGCAAATGTTATGACATAGGCATCCGCTAAGAAAGGATTTTGATTAATTCTATACCCAAGGGGATAAAATAGGGGATGAAAGATTGTATGAAACTTTGTCAATTTTAAACCGATCGGGCTGAGATTTTGCATGCATAAAGCTACTATGTTGTAGGCATCCCCTAAGAAAGGATTTTGATAATATAATAGATAATAACATCAATGTTTATTTTCCGATGGTAGCACAGGTTCGATGGTCGCTAACACGGTACAAACATTTGTATTCATGAGTATGATTGTTCGTATCGGTCGGTATTTACTACATATGTTAATAATATATGTATAAATTTACAAAAAAAACTAGATATCACTTGTCTAGAACTTATTACACAAGATCTGCTTAGATTGGGACTAGATGGAGTTGTGTGAATTATCCTGAGTCATCATAACTTATATATGTTTATTATATACAAAAATATACATATATATGTATTTATATCAGTTGTCTAGTACCCATAACACAAGCTCTGTTTACCGTGGGACTAGACCGCGCACTGTTAATTGTCCAGGGTTATTTATTAATTTATTATTATTTTTCATATTTTATGCATGTCTCTTACTTATTACTGTGTAATTATTTACATAAAAAAACATCTATTCAAAAGAGCAACACACGAGTTTCTTGCTCAGTCTTCTTGTGATGAATCTGCATTCCGAATGAGTGGTAGAAACAAAATCTGACTATTCAAAAGTGCTTGTAATGAGTTTATTTGAATAAAGAATATTTGGTAATGGTTATAAGTAAGGGAGAACTACATAAATGTAGTTTAAAAAGTAGTGAATTTTCCCTTAATAGAATTTTGATACTTGAATTTTTTACCTCCTCTTTCGCAGTACGCCACCAAAATCTTGGCAAACGTTTTAACGTGATAAATCGCTGGAATATAGATCATGCTAGAAGTACGCCTGCATTACCATAAACCAAATCTGTCCGGATAAAGTTTGGACGTTACTAATCTGTATTCAAGTTGGGAGCGTTTTTGTCTGTATGCTCCATATTTTATTACAATTTATAACTGGAGACAGATTGGGCGTCAATGATGAGAGTTTTATAAAAATACAGTGGTTTTCTTGGAAACGATAGAAACTTTTACTTTTAAATTTCAATACGCTAAAATATAATTTAAATTTAAAAATAATTTTAGCCGCTTAGGAACTTAAGTTTAGTTAAGTTTTATCTAATTAATTTTGTTTTCCCTAAACAAGCTAATCAATACCCTAAATACAAAAATTAAATTTAAAAATCATTTATTCATGTAGGACATTTTAGCCATGTAGGAATGTTAAGTTTTTCCTAAATAAGTTAATAAGTTGAGAAGTAGTAATATCTCTTTATTTTAATGAACGAATATGAATATTTTAATGACAGGTCTTAATGATAAGTCTTTAAGACCTGACAGCATTGTAAACAACCTCATCTGGGATTATGGTTTCGAAAATTGTAAACTTAATAATATACCTTCAGGCTAATGAGATGCACCACAAAATCCTTTGTGTCAACTGTCAGCATTGTAACCAACCTCATCTGGGATTATGGTCCGAAAATTGTAAACTTAATAATATACCTTTAGGCTAATGAGATGCACCACAAAATCCTTTGTGTCAACTGTCAGCATTGTAACCAACCTCAACTGGGATTATGGTCCGAAAATTATAAATTTAATAATATACCTTAAGGCTAATGAGATGCACCACAAAATCCTTTGTGTCAACTGTCCACATCAAGGCATATATCGCCGGCAAGTGCTATGGAAAGCACATATTCAGAAGTACAGTCAATGACTTAAGGCCTATGATCTTGTATTGACGCTCTATTGGTTGTAAGATCAGTTAACTGTTTCATTAGACCAGACAGATATGATGAAGTTGAACAAGTTTTCCAAAACAAGCTAAGCTAAGCTTATAAAATGATAAGTAGTACCTTCAGATTAAACACTTCTGTTAGTGATAGATAACTAGATTGTTCCATTTATAGAACAAAGCTATAAACAATACAATATCACTGTACGACCTATAGGAGCGGAGAATTATTGAAAAGTTTTGCAGAAACGGGGAAAATGCGATAGAATAGAATAGAATAGAAAATCATTTATTAAAATAAACTTAGTTTAAGCACTTTTGAATAGTCATAACAATTTTTTTTAATATACCGCTCATTTGGTTAGCTGTCTCATCACATGAAGAACGAGCAAGAAACTTGTGTGTTGCTCTTTAAGTGATCCTTATAAGTTCACATTTTACAAGTGGTGTCGTGTGAATACAAACTACCAACCAGCACTAATTTATTAGGGTCAAATATAAATACACAATAAGATTAAATCAGTCGTAGTGACAGCAGATCAGCCCTACAAGCAGCACTCGTTCACGAGTATGGCGGAAGCAGCACTCGACCGTTGGCCCAGAAACGAATCAGGTGTGAATAAATATTGTGATAAGAGCCGATGACTCGTTCACCTGCCATCACTGCGCGCAACCATATTTAGGGAGCCCAATGACCCGGCCCAGAAACGAATCAGGTGTGAATAAATATTGTGATAAGAGCAGACCAGTCCCTACGAGCAGCACTCGT